AACTTTTATTATCTTTAGCTCTTCTGAAATACAAAGTATTACAAGGTATGTATACATATGACTAATGCTATACATGGGAATTCAATAAACCAAAAATCTACATTAATTACAAATACATAAATAGGGAATAGTCTAATACATAAATATGAAATACTCTAACACTGTGTTTGGTTCAAGAAATTTGAAAGGAAAAGAAAAGAAAATAGTTTTTTCTCATTTTTCTCGCCCAAATGGGAGGAATTTGGTTTTCCTTCCTCTAAGTACATCTTGCCTCCTCATTTTATTTTTCTTCCACTTTTCATTTCCTCTCTAACCAAACAAGAAAAATGTTTTCCTTGTCATTTTCTTTTCCTTTCTCTCTCAAATTCCTTGAACCAAACATAGTATAGGAAAGTTATGAATAATATGTGTGTGGCGTGTGATTTTACCCGTGATAAAATCCAGCTTGTGAAGGCATTTGAGAGAAAGAGTTGCGACTTTTGTCCTAGCGACATACTTGTCACTGGAGATCAAATCTTTGGTGAGAGAATTTCCGGCATATGCATGTCGGAAGAGTATGGTGAGGAAGGGTCCATGTGAAGAGGTTTAGCTTCAGTCGCCATGGAGAAACGGACGACCTAGAAAGAAGTGGTTGGGGTGTCGGTAGAGCATGATGTCTAGTGCCAGGAAATAAAAATCGAAAGATATGGGTGGGGAATATACCATATAGAATTTCTGAACAGGAACGTTTTATTATATTTTGCTCTTCTGAAATACAAGGTATTACTGGCTATTTATACACATGTCTAATGCATTCATGGTAATTCATAAAAATAAAATATAAAAATCAATCTTAATTACAGATAGTACATAAATAGGGAATATTCCAAATGGAAGTTACCAATAATATTTTAGGAAGAGAATGAATCCATGGATATGTGTGTAGCGTGTAACACACAATGTGCTACACTAATGAACCATCTGCTTATGTGGGAGTTCACTCCATTTTATGTGTCATGCACATGCCAGTTCTGTTGATCCTTTGGTTAAGCACATGAAGAAGGCTATATAGGATACTTAAGGCAAAGAGAATAAAAAAGCCCAACTCCAAAAAAATCTGGAGATACGTTGATTTCTTTTACTCATTTCTTCATTGCATCTTAAAACCTGTTACATTTAGCACAAGCTTGAATCTCTAAACAATATAAACCTTGTTAAGCATAACCCA